CGCTCAGTGTGAGCTCTCCCTGTTCTGAGGGCTTAAGTGGGTGTGTGTGTGTTTGTTGCTGTCTATGTTTGTGTATGTGTGTGAATGAGAGACAGTGTGGTGCTGTGTGTCTGTGTGTTTATACAGACAGCTTGTTACAGCCTCCCCCCTAAAATATAACACTGTGTATGGAAAGCATCGTCAATGCACCGTGATGCACCGAGATATCGAATGGAACCGATCGAAGGCATGATAATCGTAACCGAACCGAACCATGAGACCAGCATAGGTTCACACCTCTACTGCACTTATGCACTTACACACTCAACAGCACAGTATCCATGTAGTGTCATCCCGATTAGAACACTAATGGTTTTTTACTAAGCGGAAATTCAACCCGTGTCCCTGATGACGCTTGACGGTTGCTATATTAGTGAAATAAATAACCAAACTAACAAATAATACCCGCCAGGAATATTACCGCATTCACCACCGCGAGGCGCTATAATCACTCATGTAGGAGAATTTTGCTCTCACAATCATCATTTCATTTCATTTTCTTGTCGGCTTAGTCCCTTTATTAATCCGGGGTCGCCACAGCGAAATGACCCGCCAACTTATCCAGCACGTTTTTATGCAGCGGATGCCCTTCCAGCCGCAACCCATCTCTGGGAAACATCACACACACAATCACACACCCACCCATACACTACGGACAATTTAGCCAACCCAATTCACCTGTACCGCATGTGTTTGGACTGTGGGGGAAACCGGAGCACCCAGAGGAAACCCACGCGAATGCAGGGAGAACATGCAAACTCCACACAGAAATGTCAACTGAGCCGAAGCTCAAACCAGCGACCTTCTTGATGTGAGGAGACAGCACTACCTACTGCGCCACTGCCTCGCCCGCTCACACAATCCAAAATAAATGAAATAATCCAACTTTTGCGCCTGATAGCTCCGCCCCTTCCACTACGTGAGCAAAGCTGCGGTCGTTGAGTGCATGAAGTGTCCATCATTACACACTTCATTTTACTGATTAAATAAGTGCATCAACCGGGCATACCTGTCAACATTGTCAAAATCCCCAAATTACAAAATATGTTCATTTGGAGCTGTTTCATTGTAAATAAACAGTTAAATGGTCAGTAAAATGTTTTAAAATTATTATTAACAAAAGAAAAATAAGCATTAAAAATATAAAATATAATTAAATTTAATAATAATATAATATACATTAGCACCAAATACATTAGCAAACCGTTCAGCTTATTAAAATGAATAGCTATTATAATGAAATAGACTAAAGCTAGCAAATCTCATTAGCCATTTCTCCACTCTATAACTTAAACATTCTGATTAAAAAACAACCAATGAATCTCTCATTTATTAAGATGGTTTTATTACAATAAATAAGAGCTGTCACTTTAAAAATGCACACATCTAATATTATAATGAAAGCATTCAACTGCTTTCCTAACTTTCACGCTCATTTAGGACTAAATTACTTGTGTTTGAAAACAAAAACACCAATATCGACATCTTTATATGTCATTATTGTTAATTATGTGTGTGTTAAAAAACACACCCAAAAGCCAGATTTTCTCTCTGCTTCAAAATCCGCGTGTACAGAATCCGTTTGGGAAACAGCATCTGTTTATCCCTATGGAGCGCGTCAGCTGACAGTCATGCACCATTATATGACTGTTTTGAGGATTGTAACGTTATAAGATGAGCGACGACACCTGTAATCAAAGGAAAGGGAATCGCGCCGTTTTTAATGTTTATTTAAAAGTGTTTTCATTTCTAAACAAAGCGAAAGCACAGAACAGACTAATGTTTAAGAGCAAGGGCGACCCCTGGTGGTTCGGCGGTATGGGTTGCGTATAGGAAGGCTCGGCTGTTCAGAGAAAGACTGAAAATACAGGAGAATGTCGGCGCAATAGCCTAGTGGTTAGCGCGCCGATATATGGTGCAGTAGCACGTCAGGGCGTCGCGAGTTCGAATCCTGGCTCGACGACATTTCCCTACCCTCTCTCTCTCCCACTTCGCTTCCTGTCTCAATACTGTCCTATCTAATAAAGGCAAAAAAAGAAAGAAAATACGGGAGAAATACAGGAAAATACCTTTACGGGATGATAGCGGGATAGAACTGTAAAATACGGGAGAATCCCGGGAAAAACAAGAGGGTTGACAGGTTTGCAACCGGGTAATTAAAGTGCACTTATTATTTTTAGAGTTTTCAGTGTGAACGCACTAATTACACTATTTACACTACAAAATGATGTAGAATAGTGCATGTGTGTGCGATTTGGGATGCACCTAATTAACTTAACTTTGTGTTGGGACAACATGAAGGAACTGTGTGTAACCCAGCATTTTTACACTGTATGTAACTAATCACGTCTTACTGTGTGCATTGTAAAAATGTTGGGTTACACACAATTCCTTCATGTTGCCATGCTGGGTCTGATAATCTCCATTCCTCTGTTACTCCTCTGCATAACTCACATACTTCAGACAGAGCGGCTGCCAACACACACTTTCACTCACTTACGCACTCTCTCTCTCTCACACACACACACAATCTCCACATCTGGCCAGCTCATCCGCCATCACTAATAAAGATTTTGTCTTACGCACAAATATTTGTCTTGTTTGAGGTTTCACTAATCATCTGAGATGAAGATTTAAAGCAGTGTGAAGGCGTGCCAATGCACAGTTAATGTAAGATTAACATCACAACAGCTGACATTTACTCAAACACAACAACAGCACGCATGCTCATTATATTCTCTCTGTGCGTGTGGGTGTGTGTCTTGTATCATTTAAGTATTGCAATATCAGTAATTCTTGACCTTGTGGGGACATTTTTTTGGTCCCCATGAGGGAAAACAGCTCATAAAATGCATTTGCTTATTCGATTAGTTTCCCATTAGGAACAATATATTTGACATTTTTAGATAGGTAAAACAGGCGGCATAGTGTCTCGGTGGTTAGCACTGTCGCCTCGCAGCAAGAAGGTCATCCCAGCTAGGTCAGTTGGCATTTCTATGTAGTGTTTGCATGTTCTCCCTGTGTTGGCATGGGTTTCTTCCAGGTGCACATTTCAAGCACATGCGCTATAGGGGAATTGATGAGCTAAATTGGCCGTAGTGTGTTAGTGTGTGAGTAAATGAGTGTGTATGGGTGTTTCCCAGTACTGGGTTGCAGCTGGAAGGGCATTTGCTATGTAAAACATATGCTGGAATAATTGGCAGTTCTTTCTGCTGTGGCGACCTCTGATGAATAAGGAACTAAGCCGAAGGAAAACGAATGAATGAATAAATATGTAAAACCCAACCCAGGCTCATTCTGATTACGTACCCCTATATACATATCCGGAGAGCGCCAACTAAGTCCTAGGAGCTACGTTTTTTATAGTTTTTGTGTACGCTTTTTAAATCTGATTTCTCTTGCGAGTGCCATTTGCAACTGTTTTTGCTGCATAAACCCACAACAGGCCGCCGTCGCACCCTACGTTACAGAGAAATGCAGAGGGTTTTTTCTCCCATACGCCATGCGGTATCAAACATTGCATTAAAACTACACTCCTCCAGCAATTCCTGCATCCAATATCTTGTTTGTCATGGGGGACATGCGGGAAATGTTTCTGAATAAAAGAGCCAAACTGCACCTAAAGTTGACAAATCAATAATTTGGCAAATAATTGGATTACTGATGTCCATGTAAACACAGTTCACTGTCTTTCTCCCCTGCATCTGTGTTTGTTTTGCCACTGTGAAAATCAGCACGTGCCCAAACCGAAACTCCCATTTTCAACCCAGGCTCATTCTGAAAACGTAGTCCAGTGGACGTTTCTGGAGACCGCAAAATATGTCCCGGGAGGTACGTATGGCTGCATTTAATTTTTTTAAGCGAACGCTACGGGGCGGTGTGACGCCGTTCCCTTTCGCGCTTGCCGGCTGACCGCTTACCTCGGTGTGGAGGGCTTTCCTGCTGCAGTCAGTTTGTCTAGTCAGCTCATCGTGTGCGTCGGCGGACTTCAGATGCAGAGAGGAGGAGTTGACCACGGCGTCCGGGTTTGAGTCCGGGGAAGAGCGGTTCCAGAAACCAGGTAAGACAAAAACAGAATCCAAAAAATAAAGCAAACGAGTTCATAACAGGGTGAGAACGTGGTGAAATTCGAAAAACAGACTTTTTCTAGACGGCTTTTCTAAATTGTTGCTCGGGTTTAGGGAAGTGAGCGGGCGGCCGGGTCAACCGGTAAAACTGGTTGGGTTCAGGGAAGGAGGAGGGTGGGTCAGCCGATTGGCTGGTCGCGCAGTCAATCATTCGGTCAGTCAAACAGCGGCCTCTGGTGGGTTGACGCGAGAACAGCGTTGGCGCGAACGGCACTCGCGAGAGATGTCTGAGATATGAAAAAACGCGCACAGCGGCCTCTCGCAGATTCGCGAAAACAAAAACAGCACAAATACGTACCTCCCGAGATTCCGCTGTCTCCAGAAACGTCCGCTGGACTACGTTTTCAGAATGAGCCTGGGTTGCCCATTTTTATGCAAACCCTTCCCCCTTTCCCTCCCCCCACACTCTTACCTAAACAGAGCTGGACACGCCCACTTTCCTGTCTTTTTCCAAACTAGAGGTGTGAAAACACCCCGCTGAGAGAGGGGGATTTCATGGCCCTTTAAAGATGAAATGCAGCTATACGTAGCTCTGGCTACATAATTCGCGCTCTACAGAAATGTATACAATGGTACATATTCACAAAGAGCCTGCGAAGACCAAACCTGTCCCTAACCTGACCTGTACCCACCTCAAGAGCACCACAAGTGTTCTGCAGTACTTTATGATTATTAAGTACATTATATTAAAAATATTGTATGTTAATCCAAACATTAAACACTTTCAAGGACTTTAGAAGCTGATAACCGTTAAACTCATCATGACTGTCTTGTGAAAATGGTCCATGACCTGCTGCCGCAAAATGAAAGCAGTGTATTGTTGGGTTTTCTTACGTGCTCCTTGAGATGCTGCACTGATTTCTGCAGGCTGAGGATCTGGAGGAACAGAGGACTCTGCAGGACGGCTTTCAGGAGATTCAGCTTCTCCTCCGCAGGAACATCTGCTCCCTTCTCCTTCAAGCGAGACTGTAGCCTCTCCACTGCCTGCAGGCACCGCTGGGTATCTGTCACACACACACACATTTGTTTTTGTGAATTGTGGTGACATTACATAGGTTTCCATTGTTTGTAGAATGTGCAATCTGTGTTTTATCACCTTACAGTAACCCTATTCCTAAATCCAACCTTTACAGGAAACTCATTAACTTTCAGAAACAACTTATTCTGAATGATCTAGAAGCCTTTAAAAAATAGAGACATTAGCAATGTCCTCATAAGTCTCCGTCTCCTTGTAATAGCTGTGTCATGCTCATGTTATTATACTTATTGTGTCATTATATGTCACAAACACACACTTAAACACACAAACACATACCAACACACACACACACACACAAGCATTTGTACATGCACTTAAACACACACACAAAACCCCCTGATCCACACACCCACACACACTTTAATACACTAAGAAAAACAAACACACACATTGACACATACACACACACACGCGCGCGCATACACACACACCCTTAAACACACACACACACACACACCCTTAAACACACACACACACACACACACTTAAACACACACACACACACACACACACACACACACACACACACACACACACACACACCCTTAAACACACACAAACACACACAATTATTTGAACTTGCATTTAATCACACGCGCACACACACACACTCGCACACAATCACACACTTACACACACATCTTACACACACTTAAACAAAATTAGAAACGCAAACACACACACATATATACACACACACACACACTTAAACGCGCACACCTGAACTAATACACACAACTACAAGCATTTGAACACACACTGAATCACGCTTACACACATACACACACGCACACACACACACACACACACACTTAAACACACACACCTGAACTAATACACACACTGAATCACGCTTACACACATACACACACACGCACACACTCACTTGCAAATACAAACACACTTAAACACACATTTACACACACACTTAAACACACTTAGAAAAACACACACACACACACACTATTTCACACACACCTGAACAAATACACACAGACACACACAAACACAGGTACACACACATACGAGCATTTGAACATGCACTTAAATCACTCACGTGCACACATAAACACACACACACACACACACACACACACACACTCACACACACACAAACTTAAACACTCATTTACACCCACTTTAACACACACTCACTCACAAACACACTTAAACACAATTAGAAACACACACACACACACATACACCTTTAAACACATGCACCTGAATAAATAATACACACACACAGACATGTACACACACTTTGAACATGCATTTAGTTGCACACACGGACACACACTCACTTGCACACACAAACACACACACAAACACACTTAAACACTCTTAGAGACAAACACACACACACACACACACACTTAAACACACTGAGAGACACAAATACAGACACACACACTCATTTACTCGCGCACACACACACACACGTAATGAATCTCTCTGCATCACGGTCACTGATGATTTCCAATCACATCAACTATTCCAGCTCCTACAGGCTTCTGTTTCTGCTCATTGACTGAAGTTTGACTGATCTGTCAGTCTGCATCCCTCTCTCTCTCTCTCTCTCTCTCTCTCTCTCTCTCTCTCTCTCTCTCTCTCAGGTACATCATCCGCTTCAGCATTCAGGGAGCATTTAAATAATTGAGGGAAGAGTGGGCCGGCATCCATTCATCTTCACAGTGTTTTCTGTGGAGGATTTCACAGCCGTGAGGAGCTGCTTTGTCTTCTAACCGCACACACTGAAGCCTCATGGGTACAAACGCTACAGCACACACTCCTCTCACTCAAACCTGAGCCAAAGACAAGTCAATAATTCACAATAGATATTCACAAAATGAAGAGTTCACAAACCGGTGAGGAGAACTTATTCATGCTGTGAGGAGAGATCTAATGTGATGGTCTGGATTAAAAACTAGTCTGTTTGATCGGGGATATATTTAAAAGAATATCATCAGTCCAGTAAGTTATGCACTGGTGCCAGTAGTGTCTATAACCTCCTAAGTAGGGTACGGTTAAATTATATATATGCATGTACACTCACCGGCCACTTTATTAGGTACACCTGTCCAACTGCTCGTTAACGCAAATGTCTAATCAGCCAATCACATGGCAGCAGCTCAACGCATTTAGGCATGCAGACATGGTCAAGACGATCTGCTGCTGTTCAAAGCGAGCATCAGAATGGGGAAGGAAGGGGATTTAAGTGACTTTAAATGTAGCATGGTTGTTGGTGCCAGACAAGCTGGTGAGTATTTCAGAAACTGCTACAGATCAAACCGGCCACTTTATTAGGTACACCTTACTAGTACCTTGTTGGACCCCTTTTGCCTTCAGAACTGCCTTAGTCCTTCGTGGCAGAGATTCAACAAGCTACTGGAAATATTCCTCAGAGATTTTGCTCCATATTGACATGATAGCATCACACAGTCGCTGCAGATTTGTCGGCTGCACATCCATGATGCCAATCTCCCGTTCCACCACATCCCAAAGCTGCTCTATTGGATTGAGATCTGGTGACTGTGGAGGCCATTTGAGTACAGTGAACTCATTGTCATGTTTAAGAAAACAGTCTGAGATGATTGAGCTTTATGACATGGTGTGTTATCCTGCTGCCATCAGAAGATGGAGACTCTGTGCTCATAAAGGGATGGACATGGTCAGCAGCAATACTCTGGTAGGCTGTGGTGTTGACACCATGCTCAATTGGTACTAATGAGCCCAAAGTGTGCCAAGAAAATCTCCCCCACACCATTACACCACCACCAGCCTGAACCGCTGATACAAGGCAGGATGATCCATGCTTTTATGTTGTTGATGCCAAATTGTGAGCCGAGCATCTGAATGTGTCAGCAGAAATGGAGACTCATCAGAGCAGCAACGTTTCTCCAATCTTCTGTTGTCCAGTTTTGGTGAGTCTGTGTGAATTGTAGCCTCAGTTTCCTGTTCTTAGCTGACAGGAGCGGCACCCGGTGTGCTCTTCTGCTGCTGTAGCCCATCCGCCTCAAGGTTGGCCGTGTTGTGTGTTCAGAGATGCTCTTCTGCAGAGCTCGGTTGTGACGAGTGCTTATTTGAGTTACTGTTGCCTTTCTATCAGCTGGAACCAGTCTGGCCATTCTCCTCTGACCTCTGGCATCAACAAGGCAGAACTGGCGCTCACTGGATATTTCCTCTTTGTCGGAGCATTCTCTCTAAACCCTAGAGATGGTTGTGCGTGAAAATCCCAGTAGATCAGCAGTTTCTGAAATACTCAGACCAGCTCGTCTGGCAGCAACAACCCTGCCACAATCAAAGTGACTTAAATCCCCTTCCTTCCCCATTCTGATGCTCATTTTAAACTGCAGCAGATCATCTTGATCATGTCTGCATAACTAAATGCATTGAGTTGCTGCCATGTGATTGGCTGATTAGAAATTTGCGTTAGCAAACAGTTGGACAGGTGTACCTAATAAAGTGGCCGGCGAGTGTACACTATTGCACATTAGAGGAGCTTTGGCCTGCAGGGCATTTCCATCCTCAGACTAAAGCTAACAATCACACACAACCTGCGGCTCCCAGCAAACTTTCACACACACTCAAACACTCTGACTTTCGGTATTCTTTATTGTGCAGTTCTGCTGCGGTTACTGAACATATCAATGGTGTGCAGAATTATAAAAGGCAGGCTTACCTTCAGCACTTTGAACAGAAACCAGCAAACAGTAAAAATAATACGAGATCAATAAATCAACTCACCCATCGTTTCGATCATCTTGTGCTTCGTTGGTCTCTCCTCATTAGCAGGACTTCACGTCATGTCTGAAATCAACACATTTACACAGGAGGGCTCATCATTTTGACTTCAGCTGTAGTGTAACATCATACTGCCCAGCCCTAAATAATAAAAACATCATCATTGAACGTTTCTGAATGAGCTCTAGCTTGCAGAGTTGTGATCTGTGCATCTGCACGTCTCAGAGTGGTCATGTGACTCATGGGCAGACGGGCTTTGGTGGTTCCCATGGCGATGGCACTACAGTGAAAAGCTGCCATTGTGGGTTTAAGCGCAAACTAATGTGAGCTTTTATCATCACCGGCCACACCGGGAGGAGGAGGAGATGTGAAACAGCCCAGCGTGTGTTCAGATAAACTTCTCCTATCAGAGGTCTTGACTGCGTCTGCAGTGTGTGTTATCAGAGAACTGATATAGCGAGAGACGCTCTGCTGGTCCACACTCAATCACAGTAAAGTACTGTGAACTGAAATACTATAGTATTCATTCGTTTTCCTTCAGCTTTGTCTCTTTATTCATCAGAGGTTGCCACAGCAGAATGAACCGCCAACTTATCCATGTGTTTTACTCAGCGGATGCCCTTCCGGTTGCAATCCAGAAGTGGGAAACACCCATACACACTCATTCACACATACACTACAGCCAGAATAGTTCATCAATCCTCCTATTTTTGCTGCTTCCCTTTTTCTTATTTGTTTTTCATATTAATGTTTTTTAATATTTACTTTACTGTATGCTTATTGATTATTTGTGGATCAGTCTTTGCATCGTGTAATTTTGGAGTTTTTAATGGGTTCAGAAATTAGATTTTATTAATTCTGTTTTATTCTATTAGTAATGCATTTTCACTTTTGGCTAATTATTGTACAAAGTTTTTTGCTTTTGGAATTTATAAAAATCAACCACTTAAACTCTGCTGTTATTTTGGGATTTCCGCCTGGATTTTGCCTACCCAAATTTAAAAGCTTCCCAAATCCACATGCAGAGGTCTTCTTCATTCATTGTCTAGTCGGCTTAGTCCCTTTATTATTCCGGGGTCGCCACAGCGGAATGAACCGCCAACTTATCCAGCAAGTTTTTACGCAGCAGATGCCCTTCAAGCCGCAACCCATCTCTGGGAAACATCCACACACACATTTACACACACACACACACACTACGGACAATTTAGCCTACCCAATTCACCTGTACCGCATGTCTTTGGACTGTGGGGGAAACCGGAGCACCCGGAGAAAACCCACGCAAACACAGGGAGAACATGCAAACTCCACACAGAAACGAGGCACTGAGCCGAGGCTCGAACCAGCGACCCAGCGACCTTCTTGCTATGAGGTGCACTGCGCCACTGCGTCACCCTCACATTCAGAGGTGTAAATGCACAAATTTGGTATCATTTTAAAGAAAACCCTTTGAATTTTCATAAAACACTATTAAAAGTGTTTAAAATAACTGTATATGTCGTCTGTGTTATAATAAACACCTAAAAAGAGGAGCTTTTTGCATTTTTTTTATAAACTCAAATGTGAAAGTGTAGCTTTTAGGTTGTGTGTGGTCTAGCGTGCTGTAATTAATGTTGGTGGTCTCTGCACATGTCTGTAATCATAGGATCAAAGAGAAATGTCTCCACCATAATCTGTGCAAAAGTTATTATATTCCAGCTGATGAGAGGTGCTGTACAAGCCACAGGGAGCGATCATTGTTTCCATATTTCACTATTGTTTTGTTTGATCAAACATAATTCACTGTGTTTGGAGCACGTCAGACATATAAAAGGATTACTTATGCACATCACCTCAAAAACAGAGGAGAATGGCCCTGAAGCGCACAGCATAAGGTGAGAGATGACAGCTGTCTGTGCTATCTGGGGCTGCTTATTGATCATGAATGTATTGTTTTCACTTCTGCACCATGGAAACACCACGATTCATTCAGCAACTGTTTGATATGTGAATATAATTCAGTAAAAGAATGCTAGAACCGTATGAGCACCGGCAAGAGCTTTCATTTGAGCTATAACTTGTACATGTGTCAAATGAAAAATATGAAAATGAACCAATGTTCAATACCCAACTTTTGTACAGTAGAATAAAAACCAAAGTGATGCATATGTGCATAAAATATAGATTCTACACTTTCAAACGAAACCACTTACGGGGGTCTGGTGCAATGCTAGCCCTTTAAATCTTATAGTGAAAGTCGATGACGTCACAGAGTTTAACTGGTTAATAGAGTATGTTTTAAATGTTCCAGAAGGATGCAAAGTAGAAATCTCTGGTGTCTTCATTTTTGAAGCTGCTAGTTGACAAAAACAGTGCTGCTTTCGAATGTCACAGTCATCCAGACAGTTATTAAGTAGAAGAAATCAGGCTTTACTTTTTTGTTTCAATGATTGTATTTAATAAGCAATGTAATCATTGTGGGCTGATTTGCAATGGCAATACTCCACTATTTAGAGCAGGGATCACCAAACTTGCTCCTGGAGGGTCGGTGTCCTGCAGATTTTAGCTCCAACCTTAATCAAACACACCTGAACAAGCTAATCAAGGTCTTACTAGGTATACTTTAAACACCCAGGCAGGTGTGTTGAGGCAAGTTGGAGCTAAACCCTGGAGGGACACCGGCCCTCCAGGACCGAGATTGGTGACCCCTGATTTAGAGTAAGGTAAGGCCTCAAAATGATTCTGCTTAGGTCCCCCAAATGTACAGGGCCGGCCCTGCCTATAGCGCATGTGTTTGGACTGTGGGGGAAACCCGGAGCAACCGAATACCCACACCAACACAGGGAGAACATGCAAACTCCACACAGAAATGCCAACTGACTTAGCTGGAACTCAAACCAGTGATCTTCTTGCTGTGAGGCGACATCGCTAACCGGGAAGCCACCCCATGTCCAGAACACAGTATTAACTTAAGACTGACTGCTGTACTCTCCTCTGCTCTCAATGCCCTCTATACATTAGCCTGACTGCTGTCTTCAAACAGGCTAATGCTCTTACGTGAGGATTAACTTCGTCCTGTGACGCTTCCCTGCGGTTTTAATTAATGTTGGCGGTGACATCTAGAGCAAGAAGCTAAACAAGAAGATCAAGTCTTTCCTTCCTTCACATATACTGTAGTCCAGTGACATAACTCTACAAGAGCAAGAAAACGTGCAAACCATTTCTGAAAACAACAACAAATCATGCACGCAAACCCCCCACCAAAAATAGATCCATTCATTTCCTTTTCGGCTTGGTCACTTTATTAATCTGGGGTCACCACAGCAGAATGAACCGGCAACTTATCCAGCATATGTTTTATGCAGCTGATTGCCTTTCAGCTGCAACCCAACACTGGGAAACACCCATACACACTGATACACTACAGACAATTTAGCTTACCCAATTCCCCTATAGTGCATGTGTTTGGACTGTGGGGGAAACCGGAGCACCCGCAGGAAACCCACGCCAACACGGGGAGAACATGCAAACTCCACACAGAAACGCCAACTGACCCAGCTGAGGCTCGAACCAGTGACCTTTTTGCTGTGAGGTCATGGTGCTACTCACTGTGCCACCGTGACGCCCCCCAAAATAGATCAATACTACATTAGCAAAAAGTAGTGTTTCAATACTTGTGTAAGGAATGAAATGTCCCTATTTGTAGTCACGCAGATGTCTCTGGCATGTCATCTGCATATTAAACACACCCCGTTCCCTCAACAGCTGTTGGAAACATTTTCGTCTGATAAAGAGAGCAAAAAATGGTCTCCAGACTGCTTCAAAACTCTACTATTTGAGACAATTACAGACATTAAGTGAAGATGTGAGATAAATGAACTCACTGACTGACATTATCAACAATACGATGGACAAACAATGCAAATAAACGCTGAGTCACAGAAATGGGCCTCATATGAATGAGCTTTTCATTCATTCATTTATTCATTTTCCTTCGGCTTAGTCCCTCACTTCACTGAGGTCATCACAGCGGAATGAACCGCCCACTTATCCAGCATATGTTTTACACAGCGGATGCCCTTCAGCTGCAACCCAGTACTGGGAAACATCCATACACACTCATTCACACTCATACACTATGGCCAATTTAGCTTATTCAATTCATCTCTAGCCATTTTTACCAACCGGACCTGAGCAAGCTTACATCATTGATGATGCGACTGCTCAGTTTAACAGAGAAGCGCTCTCTCTCAGCACAGTAGAGATTGCTTAAGGCCGTACTCACACTAGGTACAGTTGCCTCGAACCGGGCCAAAGCACGCTTGTCCCCCCTCCCGTCTCCCCCGACGGCCCGCGCTCACACCACAAACAGGCCTCAGCACGCTTACGTCATCGCTGCAGCGCTGTTCAGTGAGAAGCGCTCTCTCACTCAGCAGCACAGTGGAGATTTCTCTAGTTATATCGTTTCAGTCGTTTGATATGCCGTCAAATATTTCGCCAAACAGTCCTTAGGGATGCGATGACACAGTCAGATATTTCGCCGTACAGATCCGCCACTTTTGGCACTCATAAACAATCATAAAGCTCTCGTGCTGCAGGAATGAGGAGGTCTGCTGAAGGTGCAGCTGTCGTGCAGTGAGGGGTTTGCGTCTTTAATAAACTACGGCAGTTTGCGTTCACTGAACTGTAAAAATTATTAATAAATCCATATGAAACGGCCCCTTAAAAGTCACATCTCGCCTTCAGTTTTTCGGGCTTTGGTGCGTTTTGCACTCACACACAAGCGTACCGTGCCAAAGCCCAAGTGAACCGGGCTCAGGCACACCTCTTCCAACCGGGCCAGGGCCGCCAAGTGAACCGTGCTTGAGCCCGATTCAGCGCACTCACACTTCTCAAACGATCTGGGAAACGGGCATGGGCACGGTACGGATGGCATAGTGTGAGTAGGCCCTTAGTTACAGTATATGGTTTTGTATTATTTTTAGTTGTTTGATATGCGGTGACACGCAGTCAAATATTTCACCGAACAGATTAGCCACTTTTGACGCTCATAAACAATCATAAAGTCCTCGTGCTGCAGGAATTAGGAGGTTTGCTGAAGGTGCAGCTGTGGTGCAGTGAGGGGTTTGTGTCTTTAATAATTTACGACAGTTTGCATTCATTGAACAGTAAGGATGATTACTCACTCACACTGCAAAGCGTGCCTGAGCCCAAAACTGAAGCCAAAGCCCAAGTGAACATCTTCCAACTGTAGGCCAACTGTACCATACCTGAGCCTGATTGAGAGTACTCACACTTCTCAAACGAAGCAGGAAATGTGCCTGAGCACGGCTCGGATAGCATAGTGTGAGTGCGCCCTTATTGATTTGGGGGCCCTAAGCAATTCCAGCCAAGGGGCCAAACAGTCTTGTATGCACCCTTTGTACATTTATATATGTATTTTTTCTCTCTCCTTTTCTTCATGTCGTCTTATTACAATCTCTATATTTTAAATTATGTGGTTTCTTAAAATTGATTCACATCTAAAGAATAATAAATAAACTATTTTGTTTTTAAAACTCAACCTTTACCTGATTTGACTGCTGGACTGCTCCATGATTCAGGATGGGGGACAAATTTGTGTAGTTGTAATAATCACATTAAAATCGTACTTGTTAGACTCTCACCATACACTACCATACACTAAAACAATGTTATATATATATATATATATATATATATGTGTGTGTGTGTGTGTGTGTGTGTGTGTGTGTGTGTGTGTATGCAATTTAAATATAAGTTTTGGTCATTTTGCTTCATTTACAGGAATAGTTTCCTCATTTTAATATTTACCATTATTTCAGCAAGTGAAGTATACATGTTTTCGGATTAACAGAATATAGATAATCTATCTATCTATCTATCTATCTATCTATCTATCTATCTATCTATCTATCTAACAATGTTAAATATAAGTTATAGGTATAATCTATACTTCTAGGTTTTTATTGGGGTGACCGATTACCTTGCTTATTGGTTAAATCAGCCCCTGAGTATAGCGATAGAGGTTAAGTTGGTTTTATATTCACACATTCGGACTTTCCCCTTAATAATACAATTTTATTAAAGTATTATTTGCAAACTTTAAATAGTGAAATCATATTAGCAGCAAATGACTATCAAAGTACATCATTGTTCAAAGTCAATTAAACCGTGTTAATGTTGTTTTCAAGTCATACTTGCATGCTAATTTCGATCGAATATTCAAAGTAACATGGTAAACAATATAGAGACTTCTAAATGAACGAATGTGCGAATATAAAACCAACTTTACCTCTATCCTATAGCTCAAGTGTTTGGACTGCAAACTATAAGCTATAATTTAATGTCAAAATGCACTTTAAAACTTCAAAATTGTACATGATTTAAGGATGTTACATATGTACTGGTAAGAACAACCAATATAAACGCATACATTCAAATGTATTTTCCTTTACATTGATTTGCTTCATGTCTCATATCTCCTGCTCGTCACTGACACACTCGTCTCCTTGGTAACCAAGTACGCTAACTTTAGCGACATTTGTTGCTGCTGGTGAAAATTGTGACAAGTGAGATAAACTTTGAGGTCATATCGACAGTTGGAATAACTTTATTTGTTTATTTACTCTTTGATCGAATCATCTTTAATTCAAACACCATAATTAACATAATGTAACGCAAATACGGATCTAAAATGAAGCAAAACAACAAAATCCACATAGAGTGCGTCACTTAAGCATGTAACATGCTCATTATGTAGCATAATGTTTGCTAAAAGTGCGTGTTTGGGACATTAGAGTGTGTCAGATAACGCGTGCCCCGTTACTCGCTGATCTCTTTGTGTCCGCAGGCCCGTCGGGAATAAAATCCGCTTTTCCTACCGAGCAGCAGTGAAGCAACAGGCGGCTGACGCGAAAACACGACGAGAAAAGTTTACAAAACGGAGCAAACGGAGCGCATGAAGCGATATTAGTACACAGACACACGAGCGGCGGTCATCAAAGCATCTATGATGCGCGCGCCACATTGTTGCATTCCAAGAAAAGCGCGGATTGATACAATGTATCCAAACATCAAAGACACCGCGGCGAACACACAGAATGCGGAGTTCTGAAGAGAATTACTTACATGAGCGGCGGGAATTCGACACGGGACGCAGTCTGTCCGGTTGAGTTGTGTTAAAGATGGGCGCTGTGTTTGAAACTGGAGCCGCCCCGCACACATACACACACACACACACACACTGCGCCGCTCCGTGGCTGCCGTGACCACTGAGCTCCTGCAAAACTGAAAACCTGACTAGAAAACTGCCCTGTAATAAAATAAAACAGAAGCCTGAGGCAGTTTTATTTCATGCAGGCAACAAAAATCAAATGGCCGATAAGATAGGCGGGAAAATGTGTCGTCATCATGGCTGCAGGTTAAACTCGAAAACATTGAAGGTTCACCAAAAACTGAAAATTCTGCCATATTTACTCACCATTTATTTGTTCCAATGCTGTTTGAGTTTCTTATGAACTGGAAACCTGTAACCAGCGACAGTGTTTTGGTTTTTCCCATTTTATTTGCTTGCTAACAGAAGAAATACACTTGGAACAAGTGGAGGGCGAGCGAATGTTGACCATTTTTATTTTTGGGTGAACTGTGCCTGTAACATTACTTTAAGGGGGTTTATACTGTACTTTTTAAATTTATTTATATATATATATATAAATATATATATATACATACAATTTAAATGTATATTTTCGTAATTTTGCTTCATTTACAGGCTTAGTCGCCACTTTTTAATCTTTACCATTATTTCAGCGAGTTAAGTATACATGTTTTTGGATTAATAGAATATAATAAACATTGGTAATTCACAAAAGCAAAACATTCTGCTATCTATCTATCTATCTATCTATCTATCTATCTATCTATCTATCTATCTATCTATCTATCTATCTATCTATCTATCTATCTATCTATCTATCTATCTATCTATCTATCTATCTATCTATCTATCAATCTATCTATCTATCCATCCATCCATCCATCCATCCATCCATCCATCCATCCATCCAATACATCCATTAATCCATCCATCTCATCCATCCATCCATCCATCCATCCATCATCTATCTATCTATCTATCTATCTATCTATCTATCTATCTATCTATCTATCTATCTATCTATCTATCTATCTATCTATCTATCTATCTATCTATCTATCTATCTATCTATCTATCTATCTATCTATCTATCTATCTATCTATCTATCCATCCAATACATCCATCCATCCATCTCATCCATCCATCCATCCATCCATCCATCCATCCATCCATCCATCCATCCATCCATCCATCCATCCATCCATCCATCCATCCATCATCTATCTATCTATCTATCTATCTATCTATCCATCTATCTATCTATCTATCTATCTATCTATCTATCTATCTATCTATCTATCTATCTATCTATCCATCCATCCATCCATCCATCCATCTATCTATCTATCTATCTATCTATCTATCTATCTATCTATCTATCTATCTATCTATCTATCTATCTATCTATCTATCTATCTATCTATCTATCTATCTATCTATCTATCTATCTATCTATCTATCTATCTATCTATCTATCTATCTATCTATCTATCTATCTATCTATCTATCTATCTATCTATCCATGTATCTATCTATCTAGCAAATAATTCTAAATAAATTATAAGTAACACAAAAAACTACAATCTTTAAAAAAAATTGCTTCTTAAAATAATATTTATAATAATAATATGAAGAATATTTCAATAATCTAAAGTATGTTTTGTGGATTGGAAAGATTTTAGAGATGTTAAAGGTTTTCCACTGTGCTTTATTTTAATTTTAGACTCTCATTTTACTGTATAAAACTAGTCTAATCAGTTCATATCAGAGGTTTACACTTCATTTTGAATACAATATTTTCACAGGATGTTTATTTCCAGTGATGAGCATGTTAGCAGATGTGACCTGCACATATAAAACCCAAGAAAACCAGCAGGACTATTCATCAAAGACGTCTGATCGGACATAACGTTCCTGTTTTTAATTTCAGTGTCAGGATGACTAATTAGGACATTGAGGGAATATCATAACTAATTAGGTTCTCTCTCACTATCTCTCTCCCTACTTTAAAAATCGATTCACAGTCCGCTCACACATCATGTTGCTATACACTTTCAATCAGTGTTACATCATCAGCTTTTTATATTACAACCCATTCTCACCCCAAAGGCGTCAACATCTGAAGCATGGTCAAGCATCTTATGTGTCAGACTGAGGATGCCAAAGGTGCCCGGTCATCACTATATTGTGATAACTAATTCCATTGCTGGTTGTTTATTATGTTATTATGTTTATTATGTTATTATGTTAATTATTATTTATTATTATTATTTTTTTTGTGGAGAACTCATAAATTGCTTTGCCATTTAATTAAAACCGAATTATGAATATTACATTTTTACAAAAGGAGATAATTTGAAAAATGTTGAAAACTTGTTACCATTGACTTCCACAATATTTGACAATTGACTTCCATTTTTTTTTCTATACTATGGAAGTCAATGGTTACCTGATTTCAACATTCTTCAAAATATCTGCTTTTGTGTTCTTGCCAATGCATCATCCAGTAATGACTGATAAAAATGACATTACATGTTATTAAATTATTTCTGTCACACAAGTTACTTGCTTAAAGGTGCAAAAGTATTTTAAAAAGTATTAACATTCAGTTCAATTCATCTTTATTTCTATAGCGCCTTTAAAATAGTGTCAAAGCAGCTTAATAAATAAGTTCTTGTAAGCAATTGTGCTAAAATTGCAAAAAATGTAAGCAATTCTGTTGTAACTGTTTCCTTTAACTTAATTTTTTTAAATTATGCACATAATTCATTTACTTAATACATTTAATGCAATGGGTTTACTCACGTTTTAAACACTTTTTAGTGTAGATGAAGATATTTTATTGCTTTTACAGTTTTTCTCGATCGCTTTGGTGCATTTCTCATAACACCAGTGCATTTCTGCACAACAGTTATTGCATTTCTCAAAACAATTAGTACAAACAGCAAAACCTGGATGATAACCTGCAAAAGCGCGTCACATGCTCAAAATGGATAGTTCCTTCCTCAAAAGCAAGTATTGATGTCAATCAAAGTCTCAGTGTCATCAAAATGTAAAGTCCTGACACCATTGTTTATGAACAAGATAGTCAAATGGCTTTGTCATGTTTTCATTATGACAGTTTACTCTCATTTTACACTCTCAGTTTTACACTAATTTTTTCAATGCAAAAAAGTCAGATGTTGGTGACACTTCCTGAAAATGCTCAAGTCTATTTGCACTATTTGCACTATTTGCAGAGCAATTTGAAAACTACAGCAAAGTTAGACATCACTGCATTGAGTGAGGTATCTGAGTACAAGACAGTGAATATGTATGTTTCACACTTTTACTGTATATGCTCGTTGCAATTCTAATTTATTCACAGCAATGTGCAAAAGAATAAATACACCCTTATTTACAACAAACATAAACTTTCTTTGGGTAGAGCTGGGCACAACTGTAAACAATATTGCAGAACATATTGGAACTGAACCTACAACACAGGTCTGTAAATCATTCATCAAATTGTTTAATTTAGAAGACATTTTCAGAAAAATAAATATTTATTTATTTATTTATTTTTTATAAAATTTGCTCAACATATTTTGATAACTAGTTCAACTTTTTGTCTGTACTGACTCAAGTAATGAAATGAGGACTTTTAGTTTTATATGCAATGACTATTCAGCATTTAAGTTTAGTTAACTTTGACTGACATGACATAAGCAAATGATAATGTTATAAACAGCAGAGAGTTGTATGAAAACAATTGATGCATGTCCAAAAGCATCTGCAATGTGTTGGAAGGAATAAGAAACTGCTACTATGATGTGCACAGATGACTTATTGTTTTGAGAAATGCATTAACTTTTGTGCAAATGTAAATAGTGTAGTGTGAAATGCACCAAAGCCACTGAGAAAAACTATAATATACAATCTGTTAAAATTAACCTGTGCTAGAAAACTGTATTTAGTTTTCACAAATTAAGTTGTCCCCAAATGTATGTTTTGTCAGATTTATTTGACTTCTGTGGTGCTGGGACACCTGCAGAAGGTTTTTAGAGATGGATTTGTCCTTTGCGCTCACTCTTTTACAGGATTAGCGTCTCCTCTCTGTGGCAGTTGTGACATTTTGATCAAATCAAATTAAGTGACAATGCGGCTGAGGGAACTCAAAGTTAAATGCATGACAGTTCCTTTAGGGCCTTTAAAAACACCTCGTCAGACACACACACCATCCAGGGCTTTGTGAAATTACTGTACGCGACTCAAGCTGTACATTACTACAAAACCTAAAATATGCATTATGTATTTCGCTGTGTTTTCAGGTGACATGTCCACAAATAAACAATGCATAGTTTTTTCCATTGCAGAGGTTAGATTAATAAACAACCCAGCTTGACTAAAAAAAGCATCCATATTGGTTTATTTTTGCAAAGCATAATGAATTGTTTCGAGCAAGTGCAGCTATAAGTTTAATGCTCTGCTACAGTGGAAAATAACAATGCACCCACACTAAACTATACCATAAACCTAACAGATGGTGCGAGCAAAAGTGAGATAAAACACATTTTTTACTCAGGAAATTCATATCACAGAATTAATGCTGCAGGAGAGGGTCTACCGCACAAGTTTACTACCAGAAAAGCCACATACAGCATATTTACACAGACCATGCTCTACATTAAGGCAATCCAGGTTGTTTACTTCATTAAAAAAAACAAATAAGATAATCTAACAAACTGTGAACTCAATTTGATATGGAAATAAATGAGCACATATACATACATATATATATATATATATATATATATATATTGATTCCGTGGGATCCGAGGCAGGTGCGCACCGCACGTGTATCCACTCACGCGGTGGCCTCACCCCGTTCCCACGGCTCTCGGCCACGCCCCCTCGCCACACATATATATATATATATATATATATATATGCACTCACCGGCCACTTTATTAGGTACACATGTTCAACTGGTCGTTAACACAAATTTCTAATCAGCCAATCACATGGCAGCAGCTCAATGCATTTAGGCATGTAGACATGGTCAAGACGATCTGCTGCAGTTTAAAGCG